CTCTCTCGCACCCTCGCCTCGTCGCCGACGGTCGCCAAGGGATGGAATCCACAACCCCCACCGCCGTCGCCACCGTCACCGCTCTGCCGCCACCGCACCACACAACCATCCCGACTGCCACGCAGCCGTCGACGACGAGTGACTGAATTCTCCGATTATTATCTCATTTGCCGCCACGACCAGCGGCACGCGTCGAATACCTCGTGCCATATTCTTCGACGACGACGACAGAGGGATATCCATAGATCGTCATCCCGGTGCGGTGGATCATCGTATCGTAATCGTTTACGAAGCGGCGCCAACTTTGAGGATCCCGCCGTTCGCCACGCGTACAGGTGAGTGTGCGACCAGCGACTCTTGAGGACCGTTCTTTCGCACCCCCGAGGGTGCGCGTGCCATCGACAACTCACGCGATGATACGGAATAGCGCCAAGAATTGGAGAGCACAATTTTTTTGCGTAGTACGATTTTTTTGCGTGACAGCGCAAAAGATGTAATATTTATCTTTCCGTCATAGAGCGCGGAGACCGTCGATTGTTTTAAAATAAGTAAGTTTCTTTTAGCGTAATTTAATTGTAGTTGGCTGATTGTGTAAGAGTCAAAATTTATGTGAAACTAATTTATTCGCGTAATAGTTTAATGCTCTGTTTCACATCATATTTAATTTTGATGAAATAACTTGAGATTCTTTTCCCGGCGTTCTCTTTTGCTTTTTAACGTAAACGGTATATCTTTCTTCACGAAGAAACGCGATTCTCTGTTGCACCTATTATGCGCCATACGTGCCGTCTAATAATGCTGCGATTGTACCGCTTAACTGGCTATTTTATGTACTTTCCGTTAAACATCTGCCGTGCATATCGCATCTGCATGATAATCAAAACGATCGATTCCGCAAACGGGTTGTTTTCTTTTGATGCAATATACAAGAATATAACGCAATTAACGTGATTACCGCGATGGCCGCAATAATTTTCATCGCGGTAACACTCATTGCATTTCTTCGTCGACGTTATACATCTATGACAGGAGTTCGATTTCTTGCATAGCATTGCTGTAGTATCTAGGTATATATTCTTTCAATTCTCGCAATTCGCTAAAAAAATCTTTGATTTAATACTGAAATAAATAAGTTCTTATTAACAAGATAAGTAAAAGAAACTGCCAAATACCGCCGATCGAGACTAGATATTTTGATGTCTAGTGATACTTGTATGTAAATTTAAAAATTTTTTGCAACAAGTTTTTACACATTGTTAGGATAAGTACTAGTACCCATCAATAGATATTATCAGATCGACGATCAATTTAATTTATGAGAATATTATTTTAGTTTATTACTGTGTTGCAAGTTCGACAGCATTCGGCGCACAGTTTATGTAATTGAAATAAGATATATTTAAAATTTACGTGGAATAATATTAAACACCAATCTAGCTTCGATCAATTTTGGCGGTTTCTTACTTTATATTTGATTTATTCATATAAAGTAGTCTTGCTTAACTTATTATTATTTATTAATCAGCTTTATTAAATCGGTATTAATCGTTTCTTTTCGGGAATAAGATTATCCTAATTTTTTTATTGACACTTTATATAATATCAACCGGATGTAGGTAGATCTTTAGAATATTTGCATTCTGATCTTGAAAAAAGGTATTAAAGAACACTGAATAAATAATATTGAATGATAATAATAGCAATAGCAAAGTGTCAAGCCATGATATCTGTTCAAAATGATCGAGCGTATATGGTATCAGACGGATTATCTTATTTCTTGGGGGTGCAAGATTTCTAAGATACGTCCGAGAGTTATTCGGCGAGCGCGTTCCTTCATGTGACACGAAGAATAGGACGTTTGAATTACGCAGAGAGTTCAACCGTAAAAAAAGCTCAGATTCCGCTGCAACCGTCGCTTTTTCTCTCTATGCAAAGTAAGAACGAGTTTGCTGCGAGAGCGCCCCGCAATAAAAATATTTATGTGAATGATAAAAGAATTGCACATTTTTTCTCGAAGTGAAATTAAAGGAATTAACGGTGAAGCATGAAGATAGTCGATATAAAAAGATTTTAATTCGTTTTGAACATATTGTTATACATATAGTGCAATTAGTGTAATTAAACTAACTACTTATTTTGTAAGTGATGTAAGTCTATTTTTTTAAACGTCATAAGTCCGGATGCTTTAAGACTTAAGCCGTAAGAAATTGACCAATCACAATCAAATCCGAGGGGAATAATCGACTGTGGTTCGTCCATTTCTTAAGGCTTAAAACCCTATTGTAGATCCGGGGTAAATCTTTCGTAATGCATTATATATTTTGATATGTATATATATATATTTCAGCAAGATATTATTCATGTTGGACTTATTGTCGTATGCGTATAAATTAAAAGAAATATTTTTAGTATATTTTTAAACAATATTTTTGGACAAACTATTTACAAAAAGAAATAGAAAAGTGGCTAGCGATCGAAAGTATCGTAAACTATCTTAAGGACGGACAAAGCAGTTGGTCGTCCGCGGTATCCAACGATACAAAATGAAACAGACTGTCGCAATTAAATTGGATGATGGCAATCGTATCAAAACGCATCTTTTACAATTTTATAGGAAACACTAATCTCAGAGTAAAAAAGAAAATACATGTAAATGATAATGTAGCGAAAGGAGAGAAACATATTATCAGGTTGAATAATATATATATATATATATAGAAATCAGCACAAATAAGAGATGTGAGTGTGGTTCATTATTTGATACGTTTTGCATCTCGCGATGGAGATAGTGACGATAAAGTGAATGCCGAAAGGAGGTTACAGGGGTAGAAAGAAGAGGCGAGGAGGAAGAGAGAAAGATGCGGGATCAGAGTTTGGGAGAGGGTGGCGGAAAGGCAGAAGGGTACCAGGGGCGGGAACGAGGGTGGCGGGCCGAGGGAGGTAGAGCAGCGCGAATGCAAATATTCGCAGCGACAGAGATTGAAACAATCCGCCAATTAGAATCGTCGACGCGAACGGGATTATGCAGATTCGCGCCGCCCGCCCGGTGGCGGACGGGACTGGCAGCTGCCGCAGCGCGAGCGAGCTTAATTCAATCCGCCGAGTTGTCTTATGAATCGTAAACCGGCCTTCCCTCACGCGCCCCCGCTCGCGCTGCGTGAAATCGAGATCGTCTCTCCCGCGCTGCACGGCAACGACTGTGACGACAGTGACGACGGTTTCGTCGGTTGACGACGCGTCGTCGACGTCCGAATGATCCGCGTCTTCCATCGCCTCGCTCGCCTCGAGCGGAATAATAATATAACGCCCTCTTTCTCTCCCTCCCTCCCGTAAAGTCTCTTTATGATCTTTGGAATAGCTCTCCAGCCGGTACCATTTTCCCTTAAACGAGTATCCGCACGAGAAAAAAATCGTCGATGCTCCGAAGGATTTCCTCTCACAGATTTCTTCAAAGCGAACGCTTCTCGTTAGTCTTTTGGGAAATCGAAATTGCCCCCCCCAAAAAAACGCAATCTTATTTTTTTAGGACAATAAGTAATAAAATAACGAAAATTTTAATAATCAGAATATTAATAACTTGGATTTTATAATTCGGGATTTTATGAGAGTAAAATTTTTGATAAGTAAAAAAAAACCCAATCTTGTCATCGCAGTTATAACTTCGACATGCATCGCGCAATACGGATGAGCGGAATTACGGCGGTAGCAGCGGTGGCGGCGGCGGCGGCAACGGGTATTTATCACGAAGAGTAAAACTGACAGCAGTCCATTTCCCGTTCGTCCTGCCTGTCTGGCTGAACATAATATCTCCTGACGAAACAACGTGGACGCCGTTTGTTTGGGAAACAATGGACCGAAACAATGCCCGATCCCTCTCTCACTCATTCTCTCTCTCTCTCTCTCTCTCTCTCTCTTTCTTTCTCTCTTTGCTGTCCACGCCCCATTGCTCTTCGATCTTTTCGCGTTGAAATCTTTTCAGGAATCTCTGCCCTTTGCGAATCGTCGAAGAAAAATTTCTTTGACGACTGTAGTCACCGCAAATTTATTTGTCGCAATGATCGTCATCTAACAAGAATATAAAATTGAAGAGCCAAATTTCTCCTCGAGATCCGTTGTGTTTCAAAGGACAATTTATCTTTTCCGCTTGCGTATAGATATTGTTTCTATAAAATTCAACGAAAAGTGATTGATACAAGAATGAGATACAAGAACGTTATACAATGCGAGAACGACAAAATAATTTTTTAAATAAATCTTTATAGAGAGCGATTACAGTACATCCATACTGTGTAGTGAGTAAGAATTCGAAATTTGCGGAAGAGGATTTTCAGCAGATACCGATATCAATTGAAATGTCTGCGAATTTACGCAAGAAATTCTCAATAACTTGGCGGAAATGCTCACACTCGGGCGAAAGCGAACGTGTACTTGACAGAAATTAGTATTCCTTAATGAATGACGCGATATCCGGCTGGTTCATCCCGTCTCTCACTATAGATTCCGTTCTTCCTTGGTCTTAGACTTGAGGCTGGGAGCCATTCAATTAATTTCAGAAGACAATAGTAGCTCACTTCCACATCGGCGAATCGTGCTTGTACGAGTTTCGTACATACTCATTACATCGTTAAACCTGCTACTCCATGTCGTTTGCAGAATATTCGTGTGATCATTTGAAAAAATAAAACATGAATCCCTCTAAGCATCTTAATTCGTCTTTTTACAACTCGTTAAGAATTTTATTATTCTCTTTAGAGATAACTAAACAAAACTTACATATAAAAAAAATGATATTAAAGCTTATGATGAAATAACGGAATTAACGATATAAAAAATATGACTACACACACTCTCTCTCTCTCTCTCTCTCTCTCTCTCTCTCTCTCTCTCTCTAATGGAGTTTGTTGATAGAATTTAATTACGTCCTTCAAATTTAGAATTAACTTATATAAATATTCATCGCGTGCATCGTAGACCTATTTGTGACTGAGATAGCAAAGTGTAAAAGTAAAAACTATGGAGGGGGCGCGATATGGCAATTAGATAATTAGATCTGCGACGCTAAATCATCATACCTAATGATTTAATTTCACAATCAGTATCCAATGATATATAATCTAAAGATGTGATTACAAATTGAGCTAGAGCTTGTTCCATTTTTTTTTATCGAAATAGCTAGATAGCCAAAATGACGACGACCACGGGCGACCCATCAACCCTAAAGACTCCGGCTTCCCTGTCGGGTGGAGATCTCGTTTCTCGTCTTCTGGCGGCCACTCCTCCGTATCTATACAACGTGCCACTGACGCCTCATAGCTTCTTCTTCAGCGAGATGCTACGTTCTTTCGTACAAGCCAAGGCGGAAGCATCGTCGACTGGTGGCGGTGGCGGTGGCGGCGGCGGCGGCAAAAAACGGCAAATGCGCCGCGACGCCGCAAGCGATCTTGGCGAGACGCTCGGGATAGACCGCTCGAACTCACGACGAAGGAACGGTCGCACCATCATCATCATCATCATCATTATCACCAGCATGCGGACAAATACTATCACTCGGCAGCGCAGCAGCAATCTCCTCAAGTACCGCCGGAGACTCGTTTGGAGAACGATGGCAAGCGACCCGACGCCTATCTCGACACGATGGAGAACAAAGCCGGCGGGGCATTCGAGCAGAAACCTAACTTTGGAGGCGATATCCTTAAGCCCATCGACGAGAATAAGACCGAGTTTTCGCGACAACACAGTAGTAAGAGCTTCTTCGACGAACGACCGCGACACTTCGAGCAGGCTCAACCGCCGGAGAACGTTTTTCCCGGCGGAGAAACGCGGAAGGTCAAACCGGAGGATTCGCAGCAGTTGGATCGCAGCAGCGCGAGCGGTAGGAGTTGTAATTTCGACAGCGCGAGCGGTAGGAGTTACGAGGATCGGTTGAAAAGTAGCATCGTGCCCAGTCAGGAGGTGTCCCCTCTGCAACTGTCAGATCAGAAGAAGTTGGACTTTTCACGGGCAGGCCCTTTCCTGCCCGGAGTATCGGGGGGCAGAGGATGCGAGAGCGTACTTCAGGGCGTGAAAGGCTTCGCTCTGCCCAACGGCATGTCCGGTCCGGAATTTCTACCCGGACCCCTGTGGTACCCACCGTATCCGATGCCGCAGTCCTACCCCGGCATCGATCCTCTACACTTCTTCATAGACTTACGCGTCTCCGGCCATATTTGGGATCGCAAGCACGCGAACGAACGGCAGCTATCTTTCAAGAGCAAACATTGCTCGGCCTTCAGCGTGCCGCAATCGAAGGAGTGCGGGAATCGCCCGTTGAATCTTACCCGCGACGAGGCCACGACGTCGAAGAATCCGGACGCGGAGAACACGCAGGGTACGAATTATATCTTGAAGCATCTGATGAAAACCTACCAGGACATACAGCAGATGAAAACCTCCAGGACGGACGCGTCGATAGAGAACGAGGACCATTCGAAGGAAACACAGCAAAGTAGGATATATTATATATATTAATATGTATCGCGCGGCATTTGCATCTTTACCAACTTAATTCTTTTATTTCGCTTTTGTTCTAATAACATGTTATTTGTTTTATTGTCTGTTTAATTAACGAGATTATTTTCAATCAGACGTTTTGTTGGCTAACGCTGTTAATACACAATGTCGCTTTTTTCGAATTCGTGCAGGATTAGTCTATTTTGTTTGACATCTAATATATACATATAATATCAGTGATTTATTTTATAGTATTTGATAAAATAATAAAAATATTTATTATCTTAATTTATATAGTGAGTGTAACCCTCTATTGATTAATTTTAATATATACTTGTTATTTCTGTTCATCTAATACTCTAAAGATATCTAATTGCTATTTTCGAATAAGCACGTATGTACCTGCGATAAAATATTCGTAATATCGTAATGGTTTTTCAAGCTGGCGAGGACACTGCGAAGGTAGAGGACACTGGCAGTACGGTTACAAATCCCGAAGAGGAGAGAAAGGATTTACGGGCTCTGATTGGTCTCGAATTAGTGGTGGACTATGTGAAAGAGCCGAAGGATGACTCATCGACCGAGCAAACGTCACAAGTAACGGAATAACTTATCCTAACGAACGCGATTTGCAAAGGGATGCGCGCCTTCCACTTTAATCTAATAACTAAAATACCCGTAGTGTCGTTATTTTCTCGTGTAACATCTTCGAAACTGCACGAACGCGATGGCATTCTTTCGCCGTAATATAAAAATATAGTACCTCAGAGGCAAGATAGAATTTGCCGGAATGTGTGCAATAAGATCCGAGGAAGATTGAACCTATAATATACATGTCGTACGCACGCAACGTGTACATACATTCGTACGACGATTCGGAAGATATTCTCTTTAAATATTATTTTTGCAAAAATATATTTCTTTTTAGAAACATTTCTCTTCTAACAGAGGTTTATGTTTAAAGATATTTGTAAAACTTTTTGTCGTACTTTTACATTTTCTCTCCAACATTTTTCAAATATCACACCTAGTTGTCGCACATCTAGGTAGAAACAGAACTGTCTTCCCTGATTTGATTCTGTATAATCTCATTTTCTCATTCGATTCTGAATAATCAAAAGCTATACGGATCAATTCATAACGAGAATTAAAGGGTCGTATTAAAGATCTGATCGGAGTGAAATAGCTCCGATGGAATTCGACATGTGATATGTACTGTAAATATTAATTATAATAGCATTCCGATGTATCTATATGTATCGATAGAAAGTACTCGTTGTTGTAAGTTGAACGTAATAAAAACAATAGGATTTAACTGCATAACGTTCGTTTCTTATCAATTCAAGCGCCGCGCACTTCCTTCGTAGGTGAATGAAAGTTTAATTTTAACGCGCGAGTTGCGCACTATCGTGATTAGCTATGACGCGAAGTTCCAAGATCACTTCGCCCTTATTGTTACCGTTCAGCTTCATCAATTTCCGTCCTCCTTGCGGAACGAGAATGACGTCGTCGAAGCTGCCTCTTCTGGTAGCCGGTTCGGATAATCTGTAATACGCGACTGGTCGATCCACGTCCCTGCTCAATCCTACGTACGGCTTTTCCGGTGTGACGAGAGTGTATACCTGGTCAAGATCAAGTCGATGTCGTACTGTCAAACTTCAATTCACTCACGCATCCAAATAAATATTGATGTATAATATATATGTACATATATAGGATTTACTTCACACATCGGGAGAGACACACGGTAGTGTCTCGGCACTAAGCCAAGCGCAACGACACTATTATAGGAATCACCAGAGTTAGGAACGTCACTTTATAAAAGTAACACGTTACTGCAGATTTTAATAAATAACGCATTACAGTTACCGTTACTTATTAGAAAGTAATGATTTGTTACTTTTTTCATTACTTTTTTATAATGTTAAAGAGTGAGATATTAAATGTTAATAATCAAGCTTTTATATTAAATTTTTCTAATAAATCTTTCATAATTCTTTATATAATATTAACGTTTTTATTTTTTAATACACATGTATCCATTTAATTTTTAGGAATTTAAATTGTAATTCTGCACAAACGCAAATTTTGTTAAAAATTTTCATTACTCATTGTTTTTAAACATTAACGTCGTTATCAAGAGTGCATTCTATTTACTGCTAGTATTGAATAGTTTACGTTACACGTGTAAGGACTAGAAATTTTCAGTATTGACAACGACTGCAATCGGAATGCAATCTAAGATAAAAAGTACATAATATTTTTTAATATTTAAATTTTTATTAAAATAAAATATTTCTATCCAATCAAAAATAACGTATAATGTATTGAATAGATATATAAAGATAATAGAGATTTTAAGTATAATGATAAAAGTATAACAACTGAATTCGTTACCGTTATCGTTACAGACAGAAAAAAATACATAATCGTTATCGAAAAAAGTAACGATATAACGATAACGACGTTCCTTTCTAATCTTGGGAATTACAAAAAAAGATACGAAAAGTACTGTATTTGAGACTTTGTGACCTTAGCATATTCTTTTATTCGTTTTAGAATATTTTAGATTATATAGTATAGCTTCCAATTTCTGAACGTTTACTGACCTTTCTAGTCGGAGATATGACGTTCTCGTTCTCGAGGGAGTCTCCCGCGGAGAAAGCCAGATCCAGATCGCGAGAAGCCTGCTGTTCCACGATCGGATAAATCGCGTCGTTGTTTCGCGTACCATCTAGATTCTCCAGGTAATAAACTCTGGCATCGGCATAGGTCGCAACAGAAACGGCAATTACGAAGAGAATTGCAGTTCGAGGAGAGTTCTTCATGTTCGACAGCAATTTTCAACTAGAAGATGCAACGCGCGAAGAGTCCGCGAAGATAATGAAACGAAAGTTTTCAGTGTGCTGACAGATGCTAAACTCGCAAATCCGCGGATAAGGCGATTATCGCGCCCGCGCCGCATAGAAACAATTAATTAAACATGCATGACGTTTTTGCGTCGGCGGGATTAAAATGTTTCCGATGACGTGCCGATGACACTTGAATCTTTCTCTCGTAAATAATTTCGACCAAAAGAAATACATACCAAGGGTGCATTCGATGCGCTGTTTTGTTTCGTTGTGCATTTTATTATTGTTTTGCGTTTTAATGAAATGGTAAAGATGGAATAAGACACAAATAGCGCTGATAATTTAACGTCTCCCTAAATAATTTCAAGTTGAGAATAATATACGCGAGCACTCATTTGTTATGTAGGATGCGCTAGAAAAAAAAGCATCTTCAACAGGTGATGTATCAATCGTTTGGAATAAATAAGAGTGATATCTCTCTCTCTCTCTCTTCTTTATATATACATATATATTCTTTTTTTGTTATATTCTTATATTATTATTTTGCTTTTTTTTCTTTTTCTTTATATTATGTGTTACATTTTAACGATATTACTATACTGCCGTATGATCATTTTCATGTATAAGTTTTTTACGCCTGAAGGGACCTGTCCCAGGACATGCAATAAATAATGATTTCTTTCTCTCTCCCCTTCCCCCCCCCCCTCTCTCTCTCTCTCTCTAAAATATGTCGATGATGAAGTAGGATTTTCAAACATCCGTAATCGTATAAATTCCGTGAAGACATGCACGGTTTTTCTTCCGAAGTGTTCCACTGCACGTACGTTGATCGAATCGATGTATCGTCTTCGGCGCGTTATTGGGGCGCGACGAGAGATTAAAAACGACTTTTTTTTTCGAGAGGATCGCTTCCATTGCGATCGAGGGGGGGGGAGGGGGTGGTTGCATCGGTCGGGCCCGGGTCCTGAATAATGCATGAAATTTGTTCCCCGGAATCGAATCGCGCCTCGTCACCGGCGCGGGCGCGACGCGACGGCGCGGGCGGCACGACGGCATGGCACGACGACAAGAGAGCGGGCATAAATCTAAATAATTTCAACCCTCGAATTTTTATTATTCCTATGACTACGATGGCACATGCACGCGTGCACGCGTGCACGCACACGTACTCCAGCAGCCCCGTCCTCTGGCTCCTCGTGTTCCGTTGAATATGCATGCGCTCCGCGTTTGCCACACTTTGGCCGGGGGTGTCGGACCTTTGTGTGCAAGTACGTGCAACTATTCCTCCCCGCGCCTATGCACGTCGCGCTTCTTGCATCGACTCGCACAGCCTCGTACAAACTCGTTAGCATCACCGTTACATCTCGCAGACAAGAGCGTAATCATTCAAGTCACGAGGGTTTATCAATTCCTCCGCTATCGAGTGTTTTGCCGAATTTAAAACGCATTTTAAAACGTACCATGTATAATGTCATGAGTCGTGCAGTTTGAGAATCGATAACATGTAAAGATAAAGATATATACGTCATACGCGTTTCTAGATATCTAGATATAAAAAATACCAAGCGACTTGTACGTAAAAATAAAATCCGCACTGATCGACGCAATATCGTCGTGCGAACCCTGTTCAAAATAAGAAATTTTAAATTAGAAATACGAATGGAGTCTTTTGTCCCCCCCCCTCCACTAATATTCATCACATACATGATTATCGTAAGATTTCCTTTTTAATGTAATACGCGAATACCATTGAAAAGCAGCGCGACGCGACGCCGCGCCGCGCCGTATCTTATACGTCTAGAGGAAAATCTAATAACTGAATTTTTGAACGGAGAAGTTAGTCATTACTCACTCGCGGCGGATCGCGATAAATCACAGAAGGAATTAACGAGCGGCGAAGATGACACTTGGTCCCCTCCTCGTCTCATCCTTTTCCTTCATCGTTTCCAACCCCACCGGTGAAATATGGCCAGCAACTTTTCTCATACTTGAGAGTTTTCTTGAACGGCGCATCCCACCGTACGATATCGTTCTGAAGAACGAGGAGAAGAGAATGAGAGCAGGGGGAAGTTATCAAGTGTTCGTGGGATGAGTGCTGTAAGGTAACACTGCGAGAGGAGGAAAGGAGCGATACACCTCTTCGTAATGTTGTAGGTACAAAGAACGACCGAGAGAACTTTTCTCTTGCGATTGCCTCTTTCAAAAATTATTATTTTTATCATTATATGATACACGGGAAAACGTGTATGCGTGAAAATTATTATACATATAAATATGCCTCTCTACAATTGAGAGATAAAAAAACTAAAAGAGAATTTTTTAAAAATAATTTTTCAATTCTCAAAATTCTAATATGACAAATTATTAGGAATGTTTTAATATCATAAGGATCAAAATAATTTGCGATATAGAATAAAGTAGGTATCAATTTTGTAAATTTTTATTTTTTCATAATACTGCGCGATTTCGATATTTTCAACTATTCTTACTCTAACTGTAAGACGTAAATACGTCTTGCATAACAATTTTATTTAAAACTATGATACAGCATTCCTACTATTTAATTTACATGGCTAATCTTTACAGTCTCTATCAAGATCTTTTCTCTGAACAGTTTAAACGTTCAACGGTTTATATCATATCGGTTATTTACAGAAGCGTGTACGGTCGATGAAGTCAATAGAAATGATAGCGCACGTATTGTACTTGACATTTAATGAACGAAACAAAATTAAATGCCGTTCCGGCACTTATTTCAACTTGATCTTCTTCAAATCTTAAATCGGGTCGAATTTTCTAAATTAAATTCGAGATAATACATCTAGAAAGGGAGAAAATTCATACGCGTGAGCGTTATTGAAGAATACTCAACGATACTTGCATTCCGTCGATTTCAATTACAAATTTCTAATCACGCGGAGACAAAACCGTATATACTGAGACGATACAACAAATGGTAGAAAATAGCAGTCCCTTCATCGCGGACACGCGGATTCTATGAGTATTTGGCAGTTCAAATTTCGACAAAACGGAACAAAGGTGTCTGTCTTTTATTTGACTTGCGCGGCAATTTTCTTACAAATTTCACCGGTATACTCGCTGCACTTTGCAGTGCCACCTAAATCACCGGTTAGATACTTTGCTTCCTTGATAGTGTCGTAAGCAGACTGTTCGATGATCTTGGCATGGCTGCTCAGACCCATGTATTTGAGCATCATCACCGCGGAGAGCAACAACGCTGTAGGGTTTGCCTTATCTTGGCCGGCAATATCGGGAGCAGTTCCATGTACCTATGTAAATAAAATTTATCATCTTGTAAAGTAAAATTAATATACCTACAATTAATGTAAAATTTTGTGTTTACACATTCACGAATAAAGCGAAAATATATAATGCCAACTATACCGATTCAAACAAGGCTCCATTCAAACCAATGTTCCCGCTTGGTGTCAGACCGAGGCCTCCGACGAGTCCAGCGCACATATCAGATAAAATATCACCGTACAAATTAGGCATGACCAGCACGTCGTACTGACTTGGATCTTGCACCATGTTTAGGCAAACTGTATCCAAGTACCTCTCCTCAAATTTGACCGATGGAAACTTTTGGGCTGCTTCTCGACAACATCTCAAGAACAAGCCATCTGACATTCTCATGATATTCGCTTTATGTACAGCAGTAACCTATGAATAGATTTTAGTCAATCTGATTGGTCAAACATTTACTGATGTTTCATCATTTAATCAAAAATACTTTGAGTATACCTTTTTCCTATTATTATCTGTAGCATATTGAAAAGCAAATTCTGCTACTCTACGAGAAGCCTCCTCCGTGATTAACTTAATGGATTGAACGACGCCTTCTACAATTTCATGTTCTATACCAGAGTATTCACCTTCTGTATTTTCTCTGATAGTAACGACGTCGACATTGTCGTACAATGTTTTGTATCCTTCCAAAGATAGGCATGGTCGCACATTGGCATATAAGTTAAATTCTCTGCAAATATTTGTAAACAGATAAATGAGACATGTGTATTTTACTTTGCAAGAGAAGCAAGCGGTAAGATATTTAGAACAATCATCCGTGCTCTTATCATGATTACACATTATGATTATATAAGCATGTATGTATTAATTTTTGACAACTGTGCTGTTTTAAAAATTTAACTGATATACATATACTCATGTATCTCGCGGAATAATTTGAATCGCGCATATACTTATATACTTGACTGTACATAAATTCCAAGATGCTTACTTTCTGAGTGCAAGATTGAGAGATCTGTGACCTTTTCCAATTGGCGTCATTAGAGGTCCCTTAAGGCCAATTTTATTCCTATTGACAGAATCGATGGCTGCTTGTGGTATACCAAACCTGCCATCTGGACCCTTTACTGGCGTTACATCAACTGATTCCCATTCTATTGGCACCTAGTTTTTTCAGACAAATTAAGAAAATAAGTATAGCAAGTATGTTGAAGTAAAATGCATTAGGATATTGAACTAAAAATGCATATATCCACTACATCAATGACACATCCAAATAAGAGTATCAAGCGCGTGCACATCTACTATTAAAAGAGATTATGAATTGAGTAATCATGTTATGCAAGCTATTATAATAAACTAATTAGTGATAAAAAAGATGTTTTTAGTCAAGAGAAAATACATCCTCTTCTAATTACTCAAGTCAGATCAGAAAAACAAAGAACTAGATCTAAATACAGAACCACTTGCTTAATACTGTGATAATTTGTCATGTATATATGAAATATAGAATACAAGTCCCAATTTAAAGGTAAACTCTAGTAAAGTCCAGAGTACGATGAAATTTTATAAATCAAGCATGTTGTAAGGAATCAGTCAATCTTGTTGCATTAGTCAAAACGCAAATATATCTTACCTTGGCAGCATCAAAGATTTTTTGTACGGCAATGGAAATCTCGGGTCCAATGCCATCTCCAGGAATAAGGGTGCATTTATGTACCTTGCTGCTATAAAGCCGTGCACCAGTGATTTTTGAAGAGATCTGTTAGCACATGTCAACATATATATGATTTAAATAGATGATCGAAAACAGTACAACTCCGGCAAGAGTGATTCTCCATGCCACGAGTATGAAGGAATGATCTTTATATTCTGATAACCGCGGAAATTATTTCAAAAAGATTCGCCGAAATTATACCGACAAGAATATATCCATTAGTTTCCCAATGTACAAAGGAGAGAATCATCAAAATGTAAAACGAAGAGCCGGACGGAATTAGAACATTAAGCTATATGTGTGGGGAGAGAGAGAGAGAGAGAGGGAGAGAGAGTATGCGTAGGAGACTATAGGAGACGTAAGGACGTAAGAGCAAAGACGAGATGGAGGACGATAAGCAAATATGTGCGATGCGATCCGCGAGGAGTTCTAACCTTTCTCAGGGGTAGGAGGATGTACAGGGGTGTGGAGTAGTTAGACACGACAGCAGTTCCCTGGATAATATCGCGAACAGTGCGACTCGTCGCCTACTTACTGCTGTACGAATCCACTGAGCTGCCATCACGCCGACGGTGATCGATGCGAACAGAGATATATGGCTTCCGTTCGCTCGCGCAACTCGCTCTGTTCGCTGAGTTCGCTGTTCGCTCTGTTCGTAGACGGAGCGACGGAGCGCGCGTCGCGTCAGTCGCGTCTACTCGCGTCTTCTCGCGTCGTTCGCGCAGTCTCTACTGCTGGATTCACACTGCATCCGATTTTCGTCCAATCAGAAAACCAATCAGAAAACAGGATTCCGATAATACGAAGCAAAATTCATCGGAATCCTGTTTTCTGATTGGTTGCAGAGC